TAGTTAGTTAGTTAGTTAGTTAGTTAGTTAGTTAGTTAGTTAGTTAGATACTCAAACAACTGTTTTTAACTAACAGTAGCTACAGAATCTCTTCAAGTTAGTTAATTAGTTAACTTATTTCAGTTAACTTATTTCAGGTAGCTAATAACTGTTTCAGCAGGCTGCTTCACAGATAGACATTTTTGTACTTTCAATAATTACTGATTTCCTATTAGTTATATCTTTGTTAAGAATGTTTAGCTTTCTAAAGGAACTATGTTTAGATGCTAAAGATGTTTAGCTAGCTAAATGAACCATAGCTCAATCTCTTTAGCAATTTCTATATTTAGTTAACTAATTTCAGGAAGCTAATAACTGTTACAGCAGGCTGCTCTAAAGACGCTTTTTACTTTTAATAATTACTAATTACTTATTTCCTATTAGTTATATCTTTGTTAAGAATGTTTAGCTTTCTAAAGGAACTATGTTTAGATGCTAAAGAGGTTTTAGTTAGCTAAGTGAACCATAGCTCAATTTCTTTAGCTGTTTATATTTAGTTAACTTATTTCAGGTAGCTAATAACTGTTTCAGCAGCCTGCTTCACAGATAGACATTTTCTACTTTCAATAATTACTAATTACTGATTTCCTATTAGTTATATCTTTGTTAAGAATGTTTAGCTTTCCAAAGGAACTATGTTTAGATGCTAAAGATGTTTAGCTAGCTAAGTGAACCATAGCTCAATTTCTTTAGCTGTTTATATTTAGTTAACTAATTTCAGGAAGCTAATAACTGTTACAGCAGGCTGCTCTAAAGACAGTTTTTACTTTTAATGATTACTAATTACTTATTTCCTATTAGTTATATCTTTGTTAAGAATGTTTAGCTTTCTAAAGGAACTATGTTTAGATGCTAAATATGTTTAGCTAGCTAAATGAACCATAGCTCAATTTCTTTAGCTGTTTATATTTAGTTAACTTATATCAGGTAGCTAATAACTGTTTCAGCAGCCTGCTTCACAGATAGACATTTTCTACTTTCAATAATTACTCATTACTGATTTCATATTAGTTATATCTTTGTTAAGAATGTTTAGCTTTCTAAAGGAACTATGTTTAGATGCTAAAGATGTTTAGCTAGCTAAATGAACCATAGCTCAATTTCTTTAGCAATTTCTATATTTAGTTAACTAATTTCAGGAAGCTAATAACTGTTACAGCAGGCTGCTCTAAAGACAGTTTTTACTTTTAATGATTACTAATTACTTATTTCCTATTAGTTATATCTTTGTTAAGAATGTTTAGCTTTCTAAAGGAACTATGTTTAGATGCTAAAGATGTTTAGCTAGCTAAGTGAACCATAGATCAATTTCTTTAACTGTTTATATTTAGTTAACTTATTTCAGGTAGCTAATAAATGTTACAACAGGCTGCTTCATAGATAGACATTTTTGTACTTTCAATAATCACTGATTTCCTATTAGTTATATCTTTGTTAAGAATGCTAAACATTTCCCTGTTTTTTCCCATACAGGCGGCTCGTTGAGCTCTGAAACAGAGGAAACTTTTCCCGGCCTGCTTAGCAACCAGGTGACCCACAGGTAG